GTCATACTAAAGGTGCTGGGATACTTCAGAGGTACATTCCCTCATTGGGATGTTCTAGCTTATAAACTTCGTTTATCAGGTTCCATTTGATTTTACCCTGAACCTTTAACTAGTATCATATAAGCTACACTCCGCTACACTCCTTAATCAACACATGCTGGACTGTTTGGGAAGGCCACTCTTTGCGGCTGCTGCGGCTGGGCATTTGGACCTGGTGCAGCTGCCTGGCCAAGTTATTGTTTTATTTCCGTTCTTGTCCTTATAGGGGATTTGTAATTCATCTGTTTAGGGTAGGAACATACCCAAAGTCTCACGGTGAAGAATCAAATGGAAAGTGATATGGAACCAAGCTTCAAACCGCAGTTTATAGGGTCGTTGCTGTTCCTGTTATTGTTGCTGCTTTTGGTCCTCGAGGGGTCCGCCTTGATTTTTGTACGAACAGCTCCGCATTCCATGACCTCAATGAGCAGCACGTTTTTGTCCTGGGTTGGGTTGTGCACTTGTTTGTGATGGCCTCCCTGTTTCGTCTAGCTTACGAAGGGATGAACAGATGATGAAGCTGCTCATCAAGCATGCGGATAAGAGTTTATACGGGTTTGCAACGCAAGATAGTTGCAGTGGTTTAAGGGCACTCCCCGTTACAGTAACAGTTACCGCAACATGTCATAGGAGTAAGACTCGCACTGTAATACAAGCCCCACAAGGAACGGCCCAAGCAATGCCCTCAATGCTTTGGGAAGCAAGGAGGCATCTGGTTAGCCCTCAAAATTGGGACCCCATGACTCTCATAGCAATAGAAGAGGGTCGTTACTTCAGGGTTGCGCTCTTACCCAGAATCCTCCTATTCGTTGGGGGCGACTGTATGCTCTCAGCCCTAGATGGCATTTGATAAGCACAGCTGGAAGCCCTTAGATAGATCACAGGACATGGAAGTCCCCAATACCATAATAACCATAATAGGATTCCCATACCGTAGATTCTATCTGCTTCAGGGGGACTACATACTTCGACCCGTATTTCCTGTTGACGTTGTTCTTTGGAAGCCCTCTGTTCTTGTGTCCATTGTGTCCTGTAGCAGAGGCTGTTCGCAGATCGAAATGGCGATGTGCCACCCGGCAGTTGGTTGGGCCTTGCTCTTTGAGATCACCTCGGTTGTACTCAAAAAGCTAAGTTGGGTTCAGGAACTTATGCCGAAACATTAAATTAGCAGGAAGCACCCATGTCACCCAAAGGATCCATGTAGCTAAATATGGTAATATAGTATATAATGGGGCCCTGAAGTCGGTATATGGGACATTCTTTAAGCGCTAAGTATATACTATATTTCCACACGGACCCTTTGAGTCAGGAACAAAAGCAGTAGCAGCGCAACACCTCTCCGTGTGGCGTCCGCGTCTGGACATGTTGAGGCTGGCGGGGACTACCGATTGAGGGCCCACTCAAGGGGGTTACAGGGATATACGGGGACATATGAGGTTTAGGGTCCAACTAAGGAAAAAGCAGCCCCTTCAAAGGGGTTATAGGGATATACACGGATGTATAGAGTTTGGGGTCCAACTACCCAATGCGGGTCCTTTGAAGGTGTTACAGGGATGTGCAGGTTGCAGGGTTCAAGTATCCAATATTTGAGTATCAGAGACTCGGGTCATAGTATTTCTACTACAGGTACTGAGGAAGTACAAGATTATTTGGTCCGGTCTGTATGTTTGGAGTTCAGATTAAAGCTTGGCCACTGCGTCTTGCTACTGAGAAGTGCAGCACCAAAACAGGAAAAACATGCTTTGAGCACGTGCAATTCCTGAATTTGAAGCCTTCTACTTGCAGCGTTGCTCTGCTAAAGCTGGGTGTAGAAGAAAGTACCTTTGATAAGGATCCCATCATGGAACCACATTTTTTGAGGCCCCCCTGAGACGGAGGTAATGAGTGGCCTTGAGGCTAACCTCATCTTTTGTTACATGCTGTTAACTTTCGCCTGAAGAACTCTGTCTTTCTGCTTCTTGGGTCTAGCATGGTGGCATGACCCGAGACATGTTCACCTGTACATTGGAGTGGGCAACCCCAATCCACAAGACTGGGACCGGACCCTTTAGCTACCATAATATGACTCCCCTTATGATAGAGGTTTTGCGGACCCAAATGCCCTGATCATTGTAAGAACCCTATACCCTAAACTTCAAGAACTGATTGTTGTGAGCTTTGCATGTTCGGCAGAACGGGGCAGCGGGCGGGCCTTTGACAATGCTTGAGGGAAAACCCCTTTACTTACAGGTTCCTAGTAGGGAGTAAGGGAATATGATCCCTATGTAACCCTGCTATACTATATTCCCATACTCCCTACTAAGAACCAGTAAGTTTAAGCTAGGTCACAATGAGCAATCCTACAACCACAAGGCTGAGGCTTAGATCCTGCTTTCAGAAGCCTAAGCTCAAAAGGTCCGGGAGCCGAAGCGCTACATTTCCTAAACCCTACAATGATATAGGATAATGGTATATAGGATAATGGAAAAGAAAATGGAAACTACAGGGAATATAGGGGTTATATAGGGTTTAGGGTCTAGGGGTTATTTTAGGATAATGGGAAAGAAAATGGAAACTACAGGGAATATAGGGGTTACATAGGGTGTAGGGTTTAGGGGCCATTTTGGGATAATGGAAAAGAGAATGGAAACTACTGAGATTATAGGGGTTATATAGGGTTTAGGGGTTATTTTAGGATAATGGAAAAGAAAATGGAAACTACAGGGATTATGGGGGTTACATTGGGACAACGGAAAAGAAAATGGAAACTACAGGGATTACAGGGGTTTATCTTGGGGAAATATAGGGATAATGGAAAAGATCATTGAAACTACTATAATGCGGTTATATGGGGTTTAAGGTTTAGGGGTTATGTTGGGACAATGGAAAAGAAAATGGAAACTACCATATTAGATGGGGTTATATAGGGGTTATTTATAGGGATAATGGAAAGGGGCCAGGTGCCTGTGACATGTACTTGAGGCCCGACGGGTTCACGACACCACCCAAAACCCCTTCATGCTAGGTCGTGCATCGATTGCTTCAGCTGAGAGCGGTGCGCGCCTCATTCGGGTTGCTTCAACAACCCAAAGCAAAGCTTAGGGATGGGTCATAACTTCACAGTTTTTTGGAGTTTGAGGATCAGGATTGAGTGTTGAGGGCTTGCCTGGGTAGCCAACCATGAAATTGTAATACCCATAACCCAGGAACTGACTGTTCAGACACCTGGGCGTTCAGGTCTATATTATGAAGAAGACGATAGAAAACCAGAAGTTGGAAGCACTATGCTACACAATACAAGACTGAACATTCATTTTTAATGCAACACCACCTCGTTTAGGGTTTAGGGTTTAGTCGCAAAAAAAAAAAACAAACCATGCCCAATGAGATTGGATGGGGTCTGATCGCATGGCTTTTGTGACTGTATACAACAGGCCATTTGCGGAATACGGGCAGGTCCAGTGCCTGAGGTGTCATCTTGAATGTACAGGTACAGAAAGGAGTATCCATGCTTCAGGCTTTAGTTTCTCGAAGTTGTTCCCGTCAGGTATGCTTTTAGCAGGACCTCTCATGCTTTTTGGTTGGCGCATATAAGGTCCAGACTAATTTCGAAAAGGTTTCTAAAGAGGGCACAGAGAGGTTGCATTCCTGAGTGTAATGTACCGGTATATGTACTCAGATGTATGTGCATATTGAATATGAACTTCTGCTGCTTGAAGATACTGTCAGGAAGGGCAGAAAAGTTTGTATATGCTGCCTAGTAGAGATTGCAAAGAAGGATAGCCTAGGGAACATCTAGACTTAGAATGGAAGGACGCGGAGCTGTCTTGATAGAGTTTACTTGTCGTCCAGGGTTTCGGAAGGTGTTCTGAATTTTCCGCGCTCTACCCCAAGTTATTGAGGGCTGTTGAGAAGTTGGAAGTCACATTGGACATTCTGTTGGGCATGGCGCGAGGTCATGCAGAGTTGCGCAAGATTCGCTATGAACGCTTGAAAAGATATGCAACATGTTCATAGAGGGTAGCTTTAATTTAGGGATTGTGCGGGCACTAGCCTGAGCGTCGTGACCCCTGACACATCGCGAATCCTCAATCACAGTAGCAACCTTTTCCGTTCCTTCCATGGTTTCTAAACAGCCTAAGCTACGCATGCTCTTAAAGCCTCAAGTCACCATCTGATCCTAATACGTAGTCTTTAGCTCTAAACAACAAACCTTCTCATCTCCATGCTTTGAGCTTCACTCTACACTCCAGAAGAGCCCTGCCTAGTAAAGGTCCAAAACCGCCCTAAACCCCAAACCCTGAA